TATGGTACAAGATCAGTATACAAAAACCTGTATTTCTATATACCAGCAATAAACACAAAAATAATTTTAAAATCAGCTATTTGTAACTGAATTTAAAAAATTAAATACTCAGAATAAATTCAACAAAAAAAGTATAAACTTATACTCTGAGAACTATAAAAAGAGAGTTGAAAGAAAAAAAGAGATCTAAAAAGTGGAAAGACATCCCATGTTCATGGATTTGAAAACTTAATAGTTTGCCACTTGTTAACATGGCAACTCTCCTCAAACTGATCTACAGATTTAACATAATTCCTATCAAAATCCAAGCAGGCTTTTTTGAAGAAATTGATAAACTGACCCTAAACTCCAAATGGTTACAAAAAAAGACACAGAGAAGACAAAATAATCTTGAAATACACTATTACATTTATAGTCAGGTGATTTTACACATGGAGACCAAAGCAATTCAACTGAGAAAAAAATACCTTTATAATAAACTATGCAGGAACAACAGGATATTACATGTGAAATCCCTTTATACCTTATATTAATATCTCTACAAAACTTAAAATGGATAATAGACCTCATGCATGATAGACCTACACACAAGGGCCGAAACTATAAAACTCTTAGAAGAAAATAAAGGATTGAATCTTTGTGATCTTTAGAACAAAGAACCGACACAACTCAACTTATTATAAATCTACAAAAATCAAGACAATATGGTTTTGGAGAAAGAACAAATAGATCAATGGCACAGAACAGAGAAACCAGAAATAGACCTACAGACACATAGTCAAATTATGTTTGAAGAAGACTAATACAATGAGGCAAAAAAAGTCTTCCACAAAGGCTTAATTACTGGATATTCATATACCAAAAAAAACAGAATCAAGACACAGACCATATACTTTTCACAAAAGTCAACTCAAACTGGATTACAGACCTAAAGGTAAAAAGGGAAAACTGCAAGGGATTTCCTGGCAGTCCAGAGGTTAAGACTCTGGACTTCCATGCAGAGGACACAGGTTCAACCCTGGTCGGGGAACTACAATCTCACGTGCCGTGCAGCACAGCTGAGAGAGAAAAAAAAGAATCTTACAAAACTCCTAAAAGACAATATAGGAGAAAATCTAGATGATCTTGTGTTTGGCTGAATAACAAGGCATGATCCACGTTAAGAAAGAACTGATATGCTGGACTTTAATAAAATTAAACATCTCTGATCTGTTCAACTCAATATACTAACTGAGTTAAATGTGATCATTAGATCTTTTACAAGGTATAAAACTAACCATTCAACTCCTGCTCAGTTTCCTAAACAGCAGATCTCCAAGAAATGGCCAAAATTAGAAATTATGTCAGAACTGGGTTCCTTGCAACTAATTTTCTTAATCAGCACTGACAATATATTAACAACTAAGATGTTCAAGCTGAATTTAGAAAAGGCAGAGAAACCAGAGATCAAACTGCCAACATCCATTGGATCATCGAAAAAGCAAGAGTTCCAGAAAAACATCTACTACTGCTTTATTGACTATGCTAAAGCCTTTGACTGTGTCAATCACAACAAACTGTGGAAAATTCTTCAAGAGATGGGAAAACCAGACCACCTGACCTGCCTCCTGAGAAATCTGTATGCAGGTCAAGAAACAACAGTTAGAACTGGACATGGAACAACGGACTGGTTCCAAATCAGGAAAAGAGTATACTCAGGCTGTATATTGTCACCTTGTTTATTTAACTTATATGCAGAAATGCATGAGAAATGCTGGGCTGGATGAAGCACAAGCTGGAATCAAGATTGCCTGGAGAAATATCAATAACCTCAGATATGCAGATGACACCACATTTATGGCAGAAAGCTAAGGAGAACTAAAGAGCCTCTTGATGAAAGTGAAAGAAGAGAGTGAAAAAGTTGGCTTAAAACTCAACATGCAGAAAATTAAGATCATGGCATCCAGTCCTATCACTTCATGGCAAATAGAAGCGGAAACAATGGAAACAGTGATAGATTATATTTTGGGGGAACTCCAAAATCACTGCAGATGGTGACTGCAGCCATGAAATTAAAAGATGCTTGCTCCTTGGAAGAAAAGCTATAACAAACCTAGACAGCATATTGAAAAGCAGAGACAGTACTCTGTCAACAAAGGTCCATCTAGTCAAAGTTATGGTTTTTGCAGTAGTCATGTATGGATGTGAGAGTTGGACTAGAAAGAAAGCTGAGCGCCGAATAATTGATGCTTTTGAACTGTGGTGTTGAAGAGACTCTTCAGAGTCCCTTGGACTGCAAAGAGATCCAACCAGTCCATCCTAAAGGAAATCAGTCCTGAATATTCATTGGAAAGACTGATGCTGAAGCTGAAGCTCTAGTACTCTGGTCACCTGATGCGAAGAACTGACTCATTTGAAAAGACCCTGATGCTGGGCAAGATTGAAGGCAGGAGGAGAAGGGGACAACAGAGGATGAGATGGTTGGATGGCATCACCTACTCAATGGACATGAGTTTTAGTAAGCTCTTAGAGTTGGTGATGGACTAACTCCCAGAGTAACCTCTGGGAGTTAGTAAGCTCAGGAAAGACTGGTGTGCTACAGTCCATGATGTTGCAAAGAGCTGGACACGACTGAGCGACTGAACTGAACTGAGTTTCATTCCACTGCCATAGTCTTTGTCCTACATTTGGGCTAATTCACTCAAAGGAAGAAATGCTTGACTGCAGTTCCTGAGCCAGCGGACGGCTATACAGGAACACACAGGCAGAGAGACACCCCTTGTGCGTCGTGACAAAGGATCCCGTCCCGCAAGACTGAGGCTCACTTTTCTTGACCAAGGAGAGCTTGCCTTCAGCAACACTGCAGTCCTGCTTATCATGTTCAGATGACCGGTCTTTCAAAGCCCTCACTACACTTTATAAAAACATTTTGTATGTGTGTATCTTTAAACAAATTCGGTTTCCAAACTCCCAGAGCACTATTTCCCCGTACAAAACAGTTGTTCTTCAGTCAACTGAATTTTCCCGTAAAACAGACTTTAAAGTTGGCTACAATATACACAGCCTAACTTTCCTTGATTTTCCCACATATCATTAATGTTTTGATAGTTTCATATGGCCTGTTACTTTTTCAATTTGTCCCAAAGTTTTTTAATATTTTTCCTCCTCTCCACCAGATCTTCCTGGTGGCTCAGACAGTAAAGTGTCTGCCTATAATTCGGGTAGACCTGGGTTCAATCCCTGGGTTGGGAAGATCCCCTGGAGAAGGAAATGGCAACCCACTCCAGTATTCTTGCCTGGAGAATCCCATGGACAGAGGAGCCTGGCAGGCTACAGTCCATGGAGTCGCGAAGAGTCAGACACGACTGAGCGACTTCACTTTCTCTTTTCCCCTCAATCCCCAACAAAAACTGGAGCAAAACTTAAGATTGCAAAACACAAACGGGAAATGTTTTTCAAAGCAAACCTAAGGTAATACATGCTCCCTAACAATCAAAAGGAATATACTGAAGATATAAAGCTGATTATTAGGAGAAAGAGGACTCGAGACTAGGATAGTAAGGATTAACCTCCCTGTGAGCTCTGCCCCGCTCACTGTGACCCCTGCCCCGCTCACTGTGACCCCCTCTGGGCAAGAGGTCTGGGGACTCATTCCCCTTCCCAGCATCTGACAGCTCATGTTCTGTCACATAAATGGAGCAGCCCCCCCACCAAACTCCCAGTTTACAGCCCAGGGGACGAATGAGTTCCCATCTGTGCAGAGTCCCCAGTGCATCCTCATGTCTGAAATGGTTGGTTCTCTACGTCCTTCTGCTGATCGTCTGCTCTTTTCTCCTAAACAGACCCCCATCCTCCAAGAAGGGACTAACACACAGAACAGGTTAAATGAAACACCGGGTACCTTCCTGTACTGTAAGGAACAGATCAGATCAAGGAAAAGAGAGCACAGCACAGACAGACAGCTGATCAAGCAGACGCCTACGAGCTCAGCAAACATGTGCTAGCTCCCAAGAGTGCTGTAAATGCATTCTCTTTGTTCAATTCACTCATAGTCCATGTCCCCATTCTACAGGTAGATACAATGAGACTCAAAGGAGTAAGTAACAGGCCTGAGATCGGCTGAAACTCGAGCCTAGATCTGTGACTCAACTAGGATGCATATTACTGCTTTGTCTATCAAGTGAGCAAATGTGCTAGAAAAGCAAATCAAACTCTAAGGAACAGCAGCAACTCATTTAGAACAGTTCTAATAGCAGTTCTAACACACAAGTATCTCTACTTAAGTAAATAATTAAAAAGCAGATACTTTGTGTCTATAATATAGTCCATTTAAACTCTGTACTACTAATAATGTGCTGTGCTTAGTCCTGTCTGACTTCTTTCAATCCCATGGACTGTAGCCTGCCAGGCTCCTCTGTCCATGGAATTCTCCAGGCAAGAATACTGGAGTGGGTTGTCGTGCCCTCCTCCAGGGGATCTTCCCAACCCAGGAATCGAACCAGGGTCTCCTGCATTGCAGGTGGATTCTTTACCAGCTGAGCTACTGAGATTTTCACGTTTTTATATTGGGAACACTTTTTGAGGAGTAAACATATTATTACCTTATTATCTACACTTTAACAACACTGTAATCAACAAAGATCAAGTGGAGAACTCCCAACTAGCCTTAAGGAAAGTCAGCCACAATCTGAATGGAATCACAGGTTACAGGAGAAAATGACTGGGTTTCTTCACAAAATCCCTCCCCACTAAGGTGTGCAGCTATCCCTTGGTTAGCAACAGCCCGGTGACGTACCACGCTTCCATGTATTCAACCCTCTTCTACAAAGTTATAAATGAAACTTTAAATGTCCTAAGTATTCCACTGCATTGTGGTAACATAAAGTAAAATTCCATTTCTAAAAGGTTCTTCTTCTCTTTCAAAAACATGTTCTCTTGACCTACAGAGACACAGTGCCCTCAGCTACAAAAGTCATGCATGACCACGGCCACATGTCAGCCTGCAGAGGCTGGAAGGATATGGTTTGGAGGCAGGAAGTTCCAGCTGAGGACGTGGTTGGCCAGAGCGAGGTAGCGCTGGAACACGGACGACATCTGGGCGCTAAGGTGCTCCCGCTGGCTGAACTCCTGCAGCACCTGCACCGTCAGCAGGAAGATCTGGCGGAGGTCTTCCTCCTGCAGTCAATTAACCACACGTGCTCTGGTCAAACGCTTATACAAGATACATTCCCTTTTAGAACCATAAAAGCAAACGAACAGAAACCCTAAAATTTCCAGTGGAAAGCATGACTTCTCTAAAGACTGCTTCCATTTTTAGGCCTGCCTGGAAGTTACAGCGCAGAATGCTCTCAAGTGATGCCATCTGAAGACACCACCGTCACTTACAGGCCACTCTCCAGAGAAGCCGGTCTGAGGTGAGACCCAGTGGCTTCAGCGTGAGCCCTCCGACTGAAACCAGTGTCTTCACATAACCCACTTTGGAGCCAAACAATACACACAAAACAAAGAGCCCACGCCATCTGCAATAACACTGAAATACACAGCCCTTTCTGGCACGCTGCCAGGCCTATTTTTAAGACCAGCATAACCCCACCAACTGAATTAGTTCTATCTAAACACAATACGAACAAAATTAATAAGCTGAGGATCTTAATAGTAGCATTTCTGTTTTAAGACTAAAATTAAACAAATAACCTTAAATCATCAACTACGTTCACCGAAGCTATCGCTTTACTGTATCCTATGAAATCACGCTTTACTGTATCCTATGAAATCACAACACAAATTTTCACATACAGGCTATCATTCAACTAGATAAAAGAAACATTCTCACTCCACTAGAAACAAATTGAGTAAAAAGTGAATGATCTAATGATTAAAACATAAAAACAAAAATAACAGTACCTGGAAAACTCTTTTGCAGTTACCATGGAACTCCATACTCAGTCCAATGTTGCTCGTTTTACTTGAACTTGAGAATTCACTCAACAGTGCAGTGAGAATTGAACAGGCCAGAGTTTGCTGTAAGTATTCGATAACAAATGATCGTGAGTCACTGTTTTCCCATGCTTGGTTTCAATACAATATCTGTTCAACATAATGAAATGCTTTTATCTCTGGAGCACCCATCATATCTTCTGCCACGAGAAAATCACACACAACAGGGTAAAGATGAGCTCGCCGCTCCCTGTGGCCTTGGAATTGTGGATACATCAGCTCACCCCAGTTATGGGAGACTCTGAGCCTGGCACTCAGGACACCCTCCTACTGCTCCTCAACCACAGTATAAATGGTATTTTAAGGTGATTGATATTTAATGCATTATTTCTTTTGATTCACACAATCCATATCCTCATTTGACATTTGAAAGAAGTGAGAGTCAAAGGGCAAGTCATCAAGGCCAACTGAGTTTTGAACCCAGGTTTGTCTGACTCTAAGTTCTGATGACTGTAACCTGTATTTCCAAACAGAAGAAAAGTGAAACAGATTTTAGAGTCTCCAAAATATTAACCAGGTAGTACTGCTGAGTTTTTACAACTGAAAACAAAGATTTTCCTTCTCGGTAGCTGTATCAACAGGCCCAACTATCAGCTCACTGCTTTTACTCACAGTGTCAAGGTACCATGACAGGGACGATACCACTTACTCTGGCAAGTTTCCAGAGGTTACACAGAAATATGCACACTACCCACAGAAATATGCACACTACCTCTGAACAACCCAAAGATTAAAGTCAGGACGATACTATTTTATGCTGCTTATACAACAGCTGAGCACAGTCCTACCCACCCACCAACTGCAGCATCTCTGCTCAGAAATGCTTCTGATGTCCATACCTTGACCTTACAGATACTTGTCTTGGCAATCTTAGCAAATACACATAAAATTAAATTCCTAAAGATTACCACACATTGATACTTGCTGAAGATGAAAGATGGCTACACAGGTGACCACTACACTACCCATAGTGTACTTGTACACTTTTGTAGTATTGGTATGTTTTTGCACGTGTCTAAAATTTTCCTCAAAGAAAACGCAAAAAAGAAATAAATTCCTATTGGCTTCTAAATCTTAACAGGTAAGTATGATGTATAATTAACAATTATGATAGCACACTGACCCAGAGATTCAAGCAGCTTGTCAGACTTTTCCATACCAGATAGCCCTAACAACATGGATTACATGCGAATACCCTCAGGAATCCCAGGGTGCACACACCCGACTGCCTTTGACAGTAAGTCCTCTGACTATAGATATAAAGCGTAAAGACATACACATTCACTTTGTAACTGTACTTCAAAATACACTTATGTTATAACATTAAAATATCCCCTTTTACCCAATCTTCAAGAAGAGTGTGTAAGTTGGACTGCCTTTGCAGGGACCCAGGCACGGGGGAGAAACGAGTGTACAAAGCTTCTCTCAAGGCGACAGCTGACCACACTCCCTTCATCTCACAGTTGAAAGGGGCACAGACATGCACCAAGTGCAACCATCTTCACGTTTAGCTAACAAAACTGGTTGAAAAACTGGCTTTCTTTTAAAATAGTGATTAATGATCGAAGTGCCAGCAATCAAAAGTTCACAGATACATTTATGTAGCATTGGGATCAACGATGAATGTAGTTTTTAAATATGGCTAGGTTCTGGTAGGGAAAGTGGGTAGTAGTATTAAATACAAATTAATGAAATTCAAAAGGAAAAGTTAACTTACAAGGATGTAACATGATGAGTTACAAGATCCTATGATTCTGAAAACAATTTTCCCCCATACTTTCCACTTTTCTCTTACCCCTTCTAAATAAGACTTCAGTACACAGAAAGAACACTATGAACAGAAACCTAAATGTTTAAGAAAACATGTCTTACTGAAAAACAGAAACTAATTTTGGAATCTCAGGTGAAATAATCAATCTACTGAAAACAGGACTGATGCACAAGTTATTCAAAAACATGCAAACTGAAAAGAACCCAGAAGCACTCGTTAAATATAAACTTATCATCTTTACAAACTATCTATAATAGTTTTGCACAAGTAATCTACAACTTGCCACAAATTGTTTTCTAGTGCCAGATTATTTTGTTGTCCAGCTAAGTCCTGTCCGACTCTTTGAAACTCCATGGACAGCAGCACGACAGGCTTCCCTACCCTTTGCTATTTCCTGGAGTTTGCTCAAACTCATATCCATTGATTCGGTGATGCCATCCAACCATCTCATCCTCTGCTGCCCACTTCTTCTGCCCTCAATCTTTCCCAGTAACAGGGTATTTTCCAACTGAGTAGGTTGGCTCTTCAAATCAGGTGGCCAAAGTATTGGAGCTTCAGCTTTAGCATCAGTCCTTCCAGTGATTATTTAGGGATGATTTCCTTTAGGATTGACTGGTTTAATCTCCTTGATGTCTAAGGGATTCTCAAGAGTCGTCTCTAGCACCACAGTTCAAAAGTTTCAACTCTTCAGTGCTCAGCCTTCTTTATGGTCCTACTGTCACGTCCATGCATGACTACTGGAAAAACCATAGCTTTGACTAGATGGACTTTTGCTGGCAAAATGATGCCTCTGCTTTTTTAATATGCTGTCTAGATTTGTCATTGTTTTTCTTCCAAGGAGCAAGGGTCTTTTTATTTCATGGCTGCAGTCTCCATCCACAGTGACTTTGGAGCCCAAGAAAATAAAATCTGTCACTGTTTCCACTGCTTCTCCAAACTATATTCACCTCAAAACAGCATAAACTACAACCATATATAAATGTTTAGTAACATAACTCACTTTATTGTTTGAGTACATGCTGACTGAGCATGTACTCACAATAAAGCTTTTTTTAATGTGAAATAAGCACTTCCTGGAAGTACGAGCACAGGTCTGTGGTGAGCGAGTGAACGAGGCAGGAGCAGGGAGAAGTGAGGACCTTCCTGAGGCCACTCCAGCAGAGGAGAAGGAAGCATGCTTAAAAGTCAGTCTCCTTTAACCACAAGCCTCAGCAGACACACAGGGAGTCCCCAGTGGGATGGTATTGCTTTTGCAACATCCCAGCACAACGGAGATTTTCACACCAATAAAGTAAAAATTCACCCATAAAGGGAAGTGTATTCTTAACGCTGGATTGGCCAAAAAGTTCATAAGATGTTACGGGAAAATGGGAACGAATTTTTTAGCCAACTCAATACATAAGTAAAAACAAACTACATTCTTATTGTAGACTTAGTTTGTTGACCATAAGAATATTTTGTTTTTAAATTAATTTTTCTTCCTACAAAAATAACCACTGAGAGGTTACTACTGTAATGTGCTTACTGCTTTCTAATTTTTAAGTGCAGTTATACATTATTATTTATTATAATACATTACCATTATCCCAGTGTATTGTTTTATATTCTACCTTTTCCACTTTACAATTATGAAACAAAAGGACAAACTTTCAAAAACAAGTGGGTCCCTAGCAAATCCACCATTCAAGGACTTAAGAAATACATGGAAATAAATCATGCAGCATGGTCAGTGGTGCTACCAGAAATCAAATATCCTGGCTTTGACCTACCTAAAACAACCAGCTCTTTAAGAACTAAAGTTAAGTGAGATACTGTATCATTAAAAGATAACTGAGCAGTTTTATTCGCTCCTTAATGTGGAAGCCCTGCAAGGCTTCGAGGTTGGCATCATTAATGAGAATACTGTGGCCCAGAAGTGTCAGTTAACAGAAATCCCTGGAGAATGATCAATGTGAAGCATGGACTGCACACGGAATAAGCGAGGTGCTCTGCACAGACCAGCAGAGCGCTCCTCCTGTTCACAGAGGACACAGACACTTCCTGGTGTCTAAGATGAGTCACTCGTCTCCAGACCATCTACCAACCAGATCCCATGAACACAAAGCATCGTGCAAGCAGGGCAGGGCACTCAGGAGGCGGCCAAAGAGCCTCAGAGAAGGGGAAGCTCCTTCTGGGGAGAAGTGGAAGAAGTCCTCCCCTCTGCCAGCTCCAGGGGTCCCCCAAGGGCATAACCCCTGAACCCCCACAGCTCAGTGCCTTCCGGGGCTAGGTCTTATTTCTGTTCTAGAGACAGCCAGGGCTAGGTCTTATTGCTATACTAGAGACAGTCACGGCTAGGTCTTATTTCTGCTCTAGGGACAGACAGAGCTAGGTTTTATTGCTGTATTAGAGACAGTGACTCCAATATTTCAGGGGCCAGAAACAGAATCTGTGGTCACTACAGTGGGAACCCCACTGAAACCAGGTCAGAGGTGACTGGCTGACTGGCAAGCAGTGTACTGTGAGGCTCGCACTGAAGTTATCAATTGGGATGAAGCTGGTATAAAGGACCGTCAGTACAAAGAGGTGAACACGGCAATGCTTCATTTATCCAAAATCATAAAGACTAAGTATCTGTTGATCTTCCAAATGCAGCAAGCAAACGCTTTTAATGAAACTTACTTCATGTAAGATTTTCCAAAACAACCCTTCTAAGGCAATTATACATGGTGTGGTGACAAAGCGAGCACCAGGAATCCACTAAAACACACAAGGCGAGTTCCCAGCCCAGGACACTGGGGGCAGAGCCCAGCCCTGCTGGACAGACGTGTGCCCACGGCTGTGCCCAGGCACCGTCTGTGCCTGTCACTCGCTGCTGCTGGCAGTGTGATCAGCACTAACAAGCAGCCCCAAGCGACAGCGTACATTTCCAATAACTCAGAAGCCAAATAATAATATTCGTTACAACTATACCCCAAATCAATTCCAAATGAAAACCCTCCGCGGGACTCTCCCAGTGGGCCAGGACATGGACCTTAAACCCTACTGTTTCATATAAAGAGGTCAGAAAAGCTGGGCCCTGACAGGCTGAGACTCAGCACGTCTAGTGACTGAACCCAAGCACTTCATCGGTTCAGCCTCGACTATCAACCATGAAACAGCTATACCTTGTCACCACAGAGGTCACATGACGGCCCTGAGGTTCAGACTGGATGATGGGGGAAAATGCTACATAAATGCAGCAAATATGACAGGATAAAGTCAAAAGGCAACAGCATCCTCATGATCATAAAAACAGCCTGTGTTGGCTTCTTTAGTCCTACTTCCTGACTGTTAACTACAATCCACCAAATTAAAATCACAAGGTAAGTTACCAATTTAAAAAAGAAAACCAAAACTAAAGCATCGCTCGTCCAACAGTGCTTGCTCACCTAGGTTAGTAAGCCAACCTGTGCCTGACACAAGGGAAGGAGGAAAATTAACATTAACACAAGGGAAGGAGGAAAATGAGTGTTCCCAATTTTTTTTTAGCTACTGATGAATGTCAAAGACAAAACTTAATATGTAAAACAAGGAGAGGACATTCAATGAGGTTTGAAGGTAATGAAAGAGTCTAATATGTTTTCTTTCACTGAAGTACTAAAACTCACAAGTCGATTCACCAGCTAACAGCTGAAGTAACTGCAGCCTTCATATTAGAAGTCTTAAAGCAGAATTCTCATTTCCAGTAAAAGACACTAATTTCACAGAAGTGGAAAGAACACCCTTCAGGGACAACGTGCCTCACTCTCCAGCTTACTGTCACTAGAACAAGATACTCGCACACTAACCAGCTGACAAAATACAATACTCTTGTTCAGAGAGAACTGTCTCTTATAATAGCCTGGCTCTTGCCCCTAGAGCTTTATTACCAAGAATAAACTTTATGAAAGGTTGCCATACATAAAGCAGACCTCCAGCTGCTCCTCTAAGCAAACATCAATGAGACTTGTGATAAGAGAGATTAAGTTGCTATCACGTCCACCAGCAGCCGGGAATTTCTCACCCTCTTCTCTCTAGCATGGCAAAGAGGAAGAAAGGAGGCTTAAACCACACATTCAACAGCTTTAAGAGTGACTTACATAGGCCAACTGCTTTCAAAGGAAATAAAACAAACATGAAATAGGTTAAAAATTTAGCCTGAATGTTAATTAAAATACAACATTTAGCCACTTTCCTTGGGAAGCGAGGACTCCTATTAACTCCTCCAAGGGGTGACTCCCTGCCCTGGGGACAAAGCAGCCCAGGGGGAGGGCTGTGCACATCAGGAGGGGACGGCACAGGACAGAGACCCGCATACACACCGCCCGCAAAGATAGCACAACACACAGACAACTGTGTGGTCTCAACAGGAAACTGTGTTAACTCACAAAATGCAGAGAACAAAGACCCTAAGGCACTCTTAAAGTGTTTAAAGGAAACATGCTGGTCATATATTCTTAAAATACACAAACAGTTTTCATTCATAGATAAGAGCAGAAATACTTTCTTCTGGTTTTCAACACTTAAAATGCCATTGAATAGACAAAGACGATAACATGTCCTAAGATCCTGTAAAAAAGGGGGTGTGAGGCCACGAGGGACATAGCATTTGCCAAGTGCTCTTAATGCTGTCCTTCCCATAATGGTCAATCACCACCCAGAGAAGTTAAAACAATTTCTCAAGTAAGAGAGGTAGTTTACCACCACTGATAAATGGCACGTGAACCTAAGTGTGAATCCAAAGTCAAAATCCATGCTGTAGCATATGATCCTGCCCCAAATGCGTTCACACTTGCAACCTGACTAGCACGATGCTGGACCAGAAGCTACACTCAGAAAGCAAGGGGGAGAGCCAGAACTAAGTTGGCTAATAGTCAGTTAGCCAAACTGACTACTTTCCAGTCAATTAGGGACAAATGGAAGCATCCTTCTTAAAAGTGTAAAGTTAGTCAACTAACCTACAAAATCATGAGGTCAACCCTTTCTTTCATCCAGAGAAAACCAGTTACCACTTCAAGTATCTCTAAAATCACCTTTATACCAAAAGTTTCTGGCCACCATCATCAGTTTTCTGATTTTATCATTTTGCTTTCTTATCAAAGTTTTAAACCTCTTCCTCACTGCCATTCATGTCTCCAAACTAAGAAAATCTCATGCAAACTCTTGAAGCACTCGCACAAATCCTTAGCAGCTGCGAAGACGGGAAGACAGACTAAAACGTTTCCTGGTCTGCAGCCTCATCTTTAAACCTGCTGAAGGAACAGGAATGGCTCCAGGCACACGTCTTGAACTTGAATTTGCCATATAAATGTGGGAATGCTTTCCAAGACCACACATTTTCAGTGTGGTCACCAAAACAAATTCATCTAGCAATCTTGAAATTAAGTTCTGCATCCCACTACTGACTTCCTGCTACTATAAAAGTCCTGTTAGGAGAAATTTAACTTTAAAAAACTCCTCCTGTTTTGGAGTAGTTCCTGAGAATATTAAATTTACTCATTCCTCTCAAAGGGAATGTACTGTGAACAGCGCAAAATCTTCTCTAAACAGCTACATCTGTTTCAATCATTCTCAGAACATCGGTTATTTCAGTGGCTCTAAGAACCAATTGCCATTTGCAGTGGGCCTCCTTTCTGGGGTGGGTCAGGGTTGGTTACCCAGGGAGAGACAGAGGAGGGCACAATTCCCAATTCCCAGCATGTGCGCATTCCTGACAGCAAGGGCTCCAGGCCTTCGTCTTCAGCATCCAGAGACTACCATGGTGAACAAGAACAGAGTAGAAATTCCACCTCGACACTGACACCTCAGCCGACAGGATCACCAAGGACAATCAACAACAATCCCAGAGCCACTGCTAAGTTCCTCAAGTTCACCTCCTGGTCAGTCACAATGAGCTGGAATCCTGTCCTGCACACAAGTCACCTGAGACAGAGAGTCGCTAAGTAAAATCAAAGTTACAAAGAGGAGCCTGTTCAGAGTTGGGGCTGGGATGATATTTCCAAGGGGCAGCCTCAGCTCCAACCTTTTCCCTATGAGTTCCAGCCAGACAGGCTGCCACATGACTTCCCCATGACCATCAGCGAGGCCCTTGCTGGACTGCCCACATGGCCAAAAGTGAGGCAGAAAAGGTTAACAAAATCCACGCCACTGTGGTACTCTGGACACACAATGAATGCAGGCCCTGAGGTGCCAGTGCCTCAAGAGCAAAGCTCTTCACCAGAAGTGGGAGACTCCATCTACCTACAGAGGGTTTTGAGAGTGTATTCCCAGGTATCTTTACCTTGGAAACTGTTAATGGAATCTTATCTGCAGACTATTTTCAACAGAGCTCCTCACTACACAAAGTCAAAACAACTCATAAAATGTAATGATTCAAGCATGCACATCTTTGAAGTTGTTAGCTTTATATAAACAATTAAACTAGAAGACTACAATTAAGTGGAAGGAACACAGAATAGGATTTTTAGACTACAAAGTCTCTAGACTACAGGGTCCAATTCAGTTGTCTTTTGTGGTGTGTGGCTATCTTGAATTCAAACAAAGTTTAATTAAAATAAAATAAAAAATTCAGCTCCTCAGTCACACAAGCCACATTTCAAATACTCAGAAGCTGCATGTGCCACAGGCTGAAGAGTGAAGACAGAACATCTGCATCAACACAGTGACTTCTACCGACAGCACGGCTCCTGGAAGAAAGCAGCCACAACACAACACACAGCACACCATCTACACAGTCAACCTCAAATGCTCTGTGTCTTGACTGTGTGGTTGTTCACTGGCACACAGAACTGTCACAACTTGATGGATACAGTAATGCATGGAATTTACTCCTCAATAAAGCTGATAAGAAAAACTCCAAAGGAAAGAAATACCTAGGGCAGATATAGGAAATTCCTTTGGTGGAGACCTCACTGGGTCAGTCACAGAAGGAGTGGCAGGTAAGCGTGCACACACACGGGTTGTGTCTGTGTGTGTGTGTCAGAAGTGGCAGAAGACACCCCAGATACTGTAGAAGGGAAGGGACAGGGCCCGGGGTCCTCCTAAAATGATCTCACACCACAAGTCACATACCACCACCCTGCTTGCTGGGGGACCACTAGACACCATCCATATAGAGACGTAAGGGGCAGAGCCTCAAAGACACCTTTCAGATGATTAAGGAAAAAGAACTGGGAAAGTGAAAAGATGGCCCAAAATACCGAAAGGTTTAACACCTGAGAATCAGCCGAGCCAGGTACTGCCAACCCCAACTGGACACAAACTAAATCTCCCCCAGCTGATGAAGTCAGCAACTCCAGCCAAGAACCACAGCTGACCACAGCCCACCACTCTCTAGACTGACTGGTTCTCATAGGCAACAGGAGATGGAAAGGTAAGAACCAGCCAGGCTCCCCAGAAAACTCAGGTGTGCAGTCACACCTGGTAGTCACAGCACGCCTTCACCTATTAGTATTGCAACACTTAAGAATTTTCATGTCAGATATCATTTTCATATTTGCCTCACACATTTCCAAATCCTTGTGAAAGGTTTATTAAAAATGGGGGGAAATGTTCAACAGAAGGGTAATGGTTAAGAATATTATGGTATATTAGCTTGTAATACTGGACACCATTAAATAGGATTATGAAAACTATACAAGATTTATGATTATGAATCCTGGTAACACAGAAAAACAGAATCAAATGAAAAAGCAAAGTACACTCTACCCACAGTATGTACACATATAAAAGAAAGACTAGAAGAAAACATAAACAAACAGAAATTGCTTGATTTATTAGACTGTGCCTTTTTTAAATGTAGATACCCATTACTGTTGCTGTAACAGTATTAGTGTAATACAAAATAAAACTTAAATATTTACAAATAGCACACTTACCACAGTGGGGTTGCCACTACTTATCAACTGGCTGACTTCATGAAAAATGCTTTTGCAGTCAATTGATTTATCTAATGATCCTCGTTTTACAATTACTGCTACTGCTAATAGAATCTGTTCCCGAACATACTTTTGGAGGCTGTAAAACATAAAAATCATTGTGAAAACTTTTACACAAATCCAATATAAAAATACTCCCAGATTCCTCACTGTGCCTGCAGCTGCTAGCAGCACGGCTCACAACTAAGGTGGCGTGCTCCTGGTCACACAATGGTCTACTGCAGAGTCCGGGGCTCAAATCCACACTCCAGCAGCAACGGTTATGTGACCCTGGGCAAGCCCCTTCACACTCAGAGCCTCAGTCTCCTCATGAAATAGGGGTAAGAGTAACGGGGTTGTCACAACAAGGACTGCCCACTCTCAGCTTCACAGTCCATGCACACTAAGCGCCATGGAAACTCCGGGCAACCCTGCCAGACGGACATGCTGCAACTTCGTCTCCATCTCCATCACCACTAACAGAAAGGTAATGTGCCAGCTAGCCAAGACACAGCACCATAAAAACATACACACTCTCAAAAACCTGTTTGTACAGATACGAACACGAAATACAGAAGTCTTTGTATCTGAGTTCTGTTCCTCAGCGTGGTGGCAGAAACACCCGTTTCAGATGGAAGCCTCCTACAAAGCCTGTTGGGCCACAGGGACATACAGACTTAACTGCCTTTTCACAACCGTTTCTTAAAAGGAAGGCTTGGAAAACCTAACTCTGAACTTCATAATCCAGCCTCTAGAACGTCACACAGATTCAACAACCACGTGCCCCTGGGACAAAACCCAAACTCCCCAGCATGGCTCATAGCAGTAGGAGCCACCCCAGACTCCCCATCCCTTGCTGTCCAGCACAAGAACAAACAGTGCCTGCTTTACTCTGAATGGTGCCCCCGTGCAGACGTAAAAGGCAGAGCCCTCACTTTTAGGGGGCTCCTGGGCCTCCCTCCATCTCAGCCCCTCACTCACTCTCACAACCGCAGCTACACTGAACCTCCTGCAGGGCCTGCCCCTAAACACCGCTCTGCGCCTGGCTGGTCATCCAGAGGAGGGTTCCCCATACCACACACAACACGAAGTGTCTGCTTCTGGGGGGCTGAGTGTGTCTCCCAGGCTGGCTGCCATGCCGAGCATGGAAAAAGCACACTGCCTGCCACACAACAGGCATTTACCAGACACTCATCCACATGAACAAACATGTCTTGCTCTGTCAAGAATGAAGAGAAAAATATTCCTTCAAAATAGACCTGAAGGATTCATTAAGCAAATAAAAGCAAAGACCCTACTGTGTGCAAGAATGTGAGGTGACCAGGGGGAATGTTTGTACTTCTCAGGGACACAACAGTTTGAAACAATGACTGCCACTAGAAAGGTACACACAGCTAGTTTTAAAGATCACTACTGGGACTCTTTACGACCCCATGGACTGTATGCCACCAGGCTCATCTGTCCATGGAAAAATTCCAGGCAAAAATACTGGAGTGGGTTGCCTTTCCCTTCTCCAGGGGATCTTCCCAACCCAGGGATCAAACCCGTGTCTCCTGCATTGCAGGCAGATTCTTTACCACTGAGCCACCAGGGAAGCCCACATCACTGGAGAACAGTAATACCTAAAATTCATTAAGTGCTTATGATCTGTCTTCATATAAACTAACTTCACAAAAATTAATACATTTAATCCTCACAATCTTTTGAGTAAAGTACAACTATTCACTCTATTTAATAATGAGACAACTAATGCACAAAGACATTAATTTGCCCAAGGCCACGGAGTTAGTAAGGAGCACAAGGGGGATTCATAGTCCAGTTCTCAATCACTATGCTATACTGCCTCTAAAAAGTGTACCCTGCATTTCACTCACAGATTGGAGGAAACAGTAGAAAAGAAAGGAAAACTTTGGTGCCTGCCATGGGAGATATACAACAGTATATATGTATTAGTCTACAGTCCCTAACCTGTAGCACTCTCCCCATGTGGCATACCAAAAGCTTTAACTTGACTCTGATCCACTCACAGGACATTCTACAAGATTAAAACATCTGTGCCATGAAAGTCCAAAAAAGGCAGAACTGTTTTAGATTAAACGAGACACAACTAAATACATATAATCTGTGGTTAAATCCTGGATCAAAAAGTAACCTACAGAAGATAAAAGGGATACAAGCAGCACTATTCAGACAACTGCGAAGGTCAGAATTATAGTGAATAATGTAAATACAGAGTTATATCAAGAGCACTGAGATGATCTGAGGAGAGCTGCACTGCAGGATTTAAGGGGTGGGAGTCACTCAATCACTGGCTAAGCCTCTGCCAGGGAGAAGGCACATGGCACAGTCACAGCACTCCTCTTTCCACTTGGCTGAAAACTTTTTTCCCAAAAAGTAAGTGTGGGAGACAATATATAAGTGAACTATTTCCATGTGGAACCTGACTATCAACTCTAAAATAGCTCCTGAACTCACTGGAATTATTATGGTGAGATGATTTTGGATAACACAAGAGATGACATGCACACAACTGAACTCTGCCAAGCTGAAAGGCTGGGTAAGTAGGCGCGTACGGGAGGGGATGGGGAGACCTGTGATAAATGAGCAGCTCCAGGTTGGTGGGGGAGCGTCTGTGTGTGTTGGTGGACTGTGATACATGAGAAGCTTCAGGGCAAGTTGACAGCAACATCCACAAGGGTTCATTAAACAACAAATTTAAATAAAGGAAGAAAAACAGCATGAAGGAGAAGAGAAAGGTCTGAAACAGGAGCAAGTTTTCCTTATGCTGTTAAAACTGAAACAAATAAGCCACACCCTCACTCGGAGACCTTTGCTCATCCCTGGAACACTTTATCCCTCCAACCTGTGATGTTAACAGGCTGAGTCACAGCCTGTTGGGATTTTTCCCTTGTGCATTTTTCTACATGAAGCACTTACTAGCACTTTACTGTGTGCTAAGTACTGTGAACTCAGAGACTGTTAGTGAACCGAGCAGGAACAAAGCCACACAGAACACTCTGACATATCTTTAAGGCTGTGTGCATCTCTGTCACCACGACCAGCATCCTTAATCACCAGCAGTTCTCATTACGTAACATTTCTACATTGAGTGTGAAAATAAATATCTGTGCAAAAAGTGTTCAACTGCACAAACTGCAGACAATGTACGATGCCTCTCCTTAGAGGACTTGGCATTGAGGGGACTTAAAAAAAAAGTGGTACAAAAGTATACAGTAAATGAATTTCTCCCAAAACCTGTATGGCCAGTAGTTTTCCTCATTTGTTTCTAAATCATACAGGAAATGAATTCACACAATCTTGTAAAATTTTTAAACAACACAATGTGTATAATATAAAAAGAAAACTCACTCTCACCCCATTCCTCAGACCTAACCCCTCTCCACAGGAAACTTAAAAAGAATGCAGTGTTTTCTGCTCTATGACCTTCCCAACATGTACATGTTAATGGTGCCTGACTTCCCCCAACCCTCATGGCTACTCACCTATTGTAATACACACCAAGAACCAAAAGAAGCATAAGTAAGTACAAAGGATTTTCGACTGAGTCAAAGATCAACTTTGATTTATAAACAAAATCCTAGAACTAAACAACAACAAAAAGCCCTAACATCCAAGCATAATCTATTCAAAGAAATGAAACCCAGTGTCACAAGTTTATAGTAAAAAATCTTCTTTCATTAAGTTTCAAAACAACCTACAATCACATGTATGTGAATTTTTAAGATACGAGCCACACCCAGAGCTTAACCATAAACGTCAGTGATTAAAAAGCAAAGGAAAACCCAACCCGAGGATGAGTTGAGAGCAGGTACTCACTGAGGCCTCTGCAGGACATAGTTCAGGAGGAAGGTGCGTAGGGACTCGATAACGCCCTTCTCCAGGAGAATCCACTCTCGGACCACGGCCTCCATGATGGCCGTGGCAGCTTGGAAGAGGACATAGTCCACTTTACTCGTTTCTGGGGAGGAAACCAGACACCGTCGTTAAATAGCAGACCACCTTCCCCTGCGCACTCTGCGTTTATTAATTTTAAAGAGAACTTTCAGACAAGGAAGGAGATGGTTACCTGTTCCTTTTTTATCCAGTGACCTTGCTCTAGCACCACAAAGAGGTTAGTTCCTCTCAGAAGACACCTCAGGCAGGTGGCAGCTAGTCACCGATCACAATTGTCACAAACTTTCCTCACCTCTCTTCAACTGTTACTTCCAAAGCATGAAGAACTAAAAAATAACACAGCTTTAACAAAAATAAAATAAAAGTAGAAAGCAATCAGAAAATGTTCTAAGAGATTCTCACCCTATGCAAAACAGAACTTTGTATCTGCAGAGAATCTGACAAATGAGCCTCTGAACATTACTATCTGTGATGAGCCATGCTGTCAAGACATCTCAAGTTTGTTAGGTAATTAAGCTTTGAGCAGAACGGCCCATCTCCAATAGCAAGTTCAGAAATGAGCACAATCACATTCAGGTTCTTTTCCTCAAAATGTTTAAAAAATTAAAAAGTCACATTTACACAAGGTGAGAAGTTCTTGTGAATTTTCTGATTGCAGTAGTGATCAAACTGAGTAAAATCCCAAAGCTACACTCAGAAAGATCCAGCTTTAATGAGCAAGTTACAGCATTTGCACTGAACTCGCTTCTGAGGGGAAACCAGACACCATCTTTAAACAGCAGCTCACCTTCCCTTGCGCATTCTGCGCTGTTCATTTTAAACAGAACTTTCAGACAAGGAAGGAGATGGTTACCTGTTCCTTTTTTACCCAGTGAACTAAAACTAAATCAAGAAAGTTTAAAAAAAGAAAAAAATAGAAAATTAACATACTGAAGAAACACTTTACATTAATTTTCTATTTTTTTCTTTTATTCACCAACACCACTGTTACCGGTTTCCAAAGCAGCATTATCAAAAGGGAGAAACAGTCAAAATGAAGTCAAGAAAAAGTAGAAATTTTCTGAAGCTCTACAAAATAACCATCATGTGCAACCCACACGGAGTCTGATCCGACTCCGGGTTTCTGCCTAGATCACTGCACAGGAGCGCCTGAGGCCCGAGAGACACTTGTAGGCACAGAACAGCACCTACAATGACTTCTCAGAAGAGAATGAAGACATGGGCAGGCACATCATATTCTCCGCTTTTCAAGTGCAGACCATTTATTACAAGTGATCTTGACACAATTTTCTATAGAAGTGTTCAAAGAAAGGTATGCCTACGTCAATTCCTATCATACTAGGGTACAGTGGGGGCGGGTTTGAAAATATCAAAACTAGGGGAATGAATCAATCTGGACCTTTTTCTTTTTTTTTTTATTAGTCCATGCCATTTTAACATGAATTCTAACAGAAATGGTAATCAGAACTCACAAAATTTTAGAAAACTTAAAATATAATGAATAAAGCAATAGTCTCCAAAAATGTAAACCTATCCTAAAAAGATGCATTTAAAGTTCTAGTAGGGAAAAGAAAGTGTTTCAGTCAAAGAGGACTTGAAACAGAAACCAGCGCTATTATCTATTTAGCTCACTAAGGAGAAATATGGTACTGCCTCATAAAAGTAATTCAAATCATCTACTATAAACCTCTTCTTAAAACAATTTTTAAAAAAAGTGCCTATTTGCACTTTTCACTGCAACGTAAAGTTTTTAAGGACCTGCAATCCTTAATCTTGGATTTGAACAGGGAAGTAATATTGTAGGGACTCAAGGAATTTTAGAAACAGAACCCTGCAGATCCCCTAATCCAATCCCTGCATGACACAGCTGAAGAAGTCGCACCGAGACACAGAGGAGACACAGGTCCGCGTGGCTGGCCCTGTCTGTTGGGTGATGTGGGCCTGCCCTGAATGCAGGCACCAGGAGGTGGCCTGGCAGGCACTCCCGCTTCTCATGACCGCTGAACATGCTCCTGTCTAACTGTGCTTACAGTCTAGGCTTTTTCCTCCCTGGCCCATTCTTTGCAATCGTAAGGGGACAATTACAGAAAGTAAATGACATACAGAAGTTTTCAAGAGAACTCTTTTCCTTGTACTACTATTCCTGTAAGAAAATGTCTCTTTTAAGAAAGGAGAAATCTGAAAAAAAAAAAAAAAAAAGTCAGATTCCAAATTTAAAAGTAGTTTTCCTAACTTAATAAAAAGTTCTTTCTCATAAACACTGCCATTGGCCTTCCTAAACTGCACTTAAACATAACAGAAACGTGCAGAAGACAGCAGCCAGAACTCTGCAAGCCTGCCAGTAGCAGGTGAGACCTTCCCACACAAAGGAGCCTCTGTCTTGCTCTCTGCTGAGATGCTCAAAACTACAAGGTCCCTGTGCAGAGCTCCCGGCTCAGCTGGAATCACTAGCACTCTCAGGGGTGATTTCCCACTGACTAGGACACTGTCTGAAAGATGACAAGTTAATTTAAGCCAGCTTAGCAGGAAGCTTTTACTTCCTACCACAGTAACTCACTCTAATAACAATTATAAATAAAATTCAGGTGCATCTTGTCGGCCATCTGAAACTAGACAGAGACAGGAAGACTAAAGAGAGAGCAGAGCTAAGGGCTGGGAGCACAAGTACTGCCTTCCAGCATCCAGCAACTAACTGCACTGCCCTGCCCGCTGGGGCTCCCGTCCAAAGCAGAGGCCATGTAAGCCGCATGGTGACACACGCACACCAATAGTATTAAGGCTCAGATTCGCTCTGTCTCGGCTGTCTCTGAGATGAAAAACGAGAAAAATCCTCTTCTCTCGGAGAGCTCCAAAAGTGCTGGTCTGGGGGGGAATTTCTTCAACAAGAGCAGAATGCACAGGTTTCCTGAAGGAACATCTGACCCTACAAAACTAGTAAATTCCTAAGTGCCAAAGACTTCTGAGGCAAAAAAGTCAGAAAGTGCCCTTCTAACAAAACGCAGAAACATGCAACATGCACACATGTGCACACACTCAGAAAAGAGCAAAGAAATTAAAGCTACAATGAAAACAAAAGCTTGAGACCAGAAAGAAATGAGGAAAAATAAGAAATAACAAAACTTAAGTTAGAAGAGAGAAGGAAGAATTTTAAAAAGCCAGAAAAAGGAAACATCCAAGAGAAAGCCTCCCCTTCGTCAGAACCTATCACCCAGACACTCCACACAAGTGACCTATATCCCGAAACAAGAACGTGAAAACCCTGGATTGCGATCGACTGCCACATGCGTGAGAAGTCTTCTCAGAGGAACTAACGTTTCTGGGCTGGTGGCAACTGGGTGAGGAGTTAAGCTTTCTGTGAAGTTCAGAGGTCAACATTAATGTAACACCAGGCTTTGCAGTACATTAATGATTATGCTTGTAACACATGCACCCAACTTTTAAATAGTTATGTCTCAAAACCCAAAATGCTTTCAGTAGCGTAGCCAGAACTAGCAATACTATTCTTTAGAAATTTTTATCAGGAAAACAAAAGTATTCTAAAACAAGCTCAAGTCGTAACAAAGCAATAGTTCTTCATAAAATATACATACTCTAAAAAAGAGAGTGGTAAACAAATACACTCTAATATCATACTTATCACTGAGACCGGTATTTCCCAGCCAGTACAGAATGATAACCGAGTCGTGGCCGGAAGTCGGATGAGACACCGCGGGGACCTGCTGACACAGTTAGGCCAAAGCCTCGAAAGCCAGGCTCAGCCAGGCTCAGATCATCTGAGCTTTTCTCCCTCCACTGACTCTGACAGCTTCAAGGCCATAAGCATGAAGAAGTAAGGCTCCCTCCAACTCTTAATGATCTTCAGTTTTGCTTCTTTTAATACTGAGTTAAACATTCTCCACATGGTAACAAGTTTTCTTAGTGTCAGAAACAAATTCAACCAAGTATAAAAGTTGACTACTCAAAAAAAAAAACCACCTTGCCTCGTTTAGAATTAAAGGTGAGTATTAGACTGCTTCTCTAACTCAAGCTCTAACTCCTGGAGGGGACAGGGCCACCTTTACCACCGCTGCCAGCTCCACCCAGAGCACTTTTCAAAGGCTGTCTGACATGCGGTCACGCAGCAATGACCTTCACCTGACCTCTCGCCAAGTGCTTTCACAGGTTGCTATATCTGCGCCTCACTACGACTTAACACGGTCAAGTCCATTTAAGGAAATGGCATCATTATGCCCATTTCGCAGACAGAAAAGGCTCTGAGGGGCAATGTGACTTCCCGTGCTGCTTCCGGGCTGCAGGGACCCCAGCGCCCAGCCCTTCCACTAAAGGCCCTGGACCTCAGCCCTGACCCGGAAAGCACTGCGCACACAGAGACCGACTGTGGGCTATTTACCAGAGCGCTGGGGGCCAGCAGGTTAGCCTTCCTAAAGCACAAGAACACACGGCAGATTCTTCAGCTCCTAACACTTAACTAACCAATTCTGTAGCCATGGACACCTCAAAAGGCTTCCTTTCAGAGCCCCCAATATAGGGATTACAAAAAATGATTCCAAATAAGAAAAACAGCCAACAAAAATCTTTCTTATGATAATTGAAAAATATCTAAGAGGCAAAGAGAATGCCATCTTTGAACAAGTTATAATTGCTGTTATTACTTTTAAAGGAAAGAGATCACTCTGTACGTATGTCATATATAAAGTACAAACAAAAAATTTTTTACAAGAGTAAAAAACTCAATGTTTCATTTTAGGACATACAATGAAGAACCTACACAGAACTGACTAATATTCACTACGTGAGCTGAGTACAAACTATTATATACGGTTTTTAAAAAACTGAAAATACAACTAAAAGAAACTGTAGAAATCTCCAAAAATAATCTTAAACTTTAAAACACTGGGATGAATTACAGTGCATTTCCTGTAAGTGATATCATACTTGAAAACAATAGAAAAAACATTAGATTTTCCTCTCACCATTATCAGCCTTGACATTATGGCCAATAATGAAACAACTTATTGAATGCGATACTCAGCAAAGAAAAATCCAAAGCAAAACCAAAGTTTTCTCTCTGGCCTTATGGAATATCTTTAAAGTCACTCCAGTGGAATGACTAATGGAAAATTTAACTGTACAAACCTGCTTATCTTTAAATGCATTCAAACATCTAAAGTTCAAGATAGAAAAATTAGGTATTTTTAAAGTAAACACACTTACCCAAAATATGCTTGCAAACGGCAAACGGTGACTTTGACTTCCTGAATGACAAGAATATGTGCTCGGCATGCTGGCGCTGCTCGGTGTTAACCATGGAAGGTGGCGCCTTGAGAGTCAAACACACACAGAGCATACTTGTTTAATAAGGAGGCTTCAACAACAGCAATCCTTTCATCCACAACAAGAGAAGATATTTTCACTTTCAGGGGACAACAAGAGGACAAACACTTGCTTAAGGAATTACAGTATTAAACATTATAATAGACACCTAAAATACATCTTCAAGAAAACAGAAGAAACTCCTGGCAAGGTTTGGATCAAGTTGCCTAACATTTTAGGAAGGCAGATATTTATTCAAAAATTTTTGGTAAACTTTTTAAAAAACATAGCTAATATTGTCTCTTATTCCCAAATATACCATTCCATTTAAACTGATGAAGTTCAAATCACTTCTAAATTCTTAGGCACTGGTGAAACTGAATCCAAAGTTACTAAAACTTGATTTCTAAAAATGATCTTTTAAGATAGTCTGCCCAGGTCTTCAAGTTCCATTTTGCTTTAACAATATTTCTTTCAAAGACAGTATCTTCTGAACCAGCCCAACCTAAAATATACATTCCCATTCCACGGTTCAGTTATCTTTGACTTCACTGAGACCCATCTGAAGCTCAGAAGGAGAGACTGGCTTATACAGCATACAGATTAAAATATCAGATTCCTCAACGGGGGGGGGGGGGCAAAAAAATAAACCTTTGTTGCTGTAACCAATATAAATTAGGGAAATCACTTCAAGTGTATTCAAAGACCTAGGAAGATGAAAAACATTTTGCCAGATACATTAAATCAATACTCAATATAAAGTCTATCAACTATGCAACATTAGTCACTCTATTTTCAGTTAAAATAGTTTTTAAAAATCCAAGAAGTCTCTTGCCTAGAGGAATTCTAATTAGCTAAAGCCAGTTCAGACTATTATTCCTAAAGATATAGCACCCTCTACAGCTCTCCAGGTAAAAACGAAAAATTTCCACTAAAAATCTCCAGTAAACAGAGAACAAGAATCACATTGCACAGCACAGGGAACTACGGCTCTTATCCTGTAATAACCTACAATGGAGTATAATCTACAAAACCACTGACTATACTGTACACCTGAAACTAAGACTGTAAATCATCTATGTGTCAGTCTTTTAAAAAGAACTGTTACATTCAGTTCTGTTTTATAATTTTGGCCGCAACAGGTTTTAGTTGCAGCACTCAGGATGTTCAGTTACAGCAGGTAACTTAGTTGCAGCATGCAGGATCTTAGTTTCAACCAGGGATCAAACCCACATCCTCTAAATTGGAAACACAGAGTCTTAGCCACTGAACCATCAGGGAAGCCCCCTTGAATATTTTTAAAGGCTTTATTAATAAAATACTGTGAACCGCTAACTATGCTAAATATAAATATTTTTTTCACTTGCAAATTCTTCATTTCCACCATTTTCCCTAATTCAACGAGTTGAGTCTGTGCTCTCATAAGACCCTTCATCTACTGACTATGACCTGAATACACAGCATGCTAAACACTACCACCACCTGCTATACTGTTTATGAATACAAGTTCTACAAATAAAACAGTTCCCAAAGTTAATGATACTGGGACAGCCTAATATACACTTAATAAGATACAAGTCTGAATACAATTTTAATATAACATAAAAAATGAATTTCATTTTTAAGTTCAAATGATGAAGTATAAACTAAAAGCTTGTGTTAACCACCTGGTTGAATATCATACAAACAATAAAATCATCAAGTCAATAAGTTAAGGGACAAGATGGTATTCACTTTAATTTCTCAAAACTAAACTTTCAAATTCTTTCTCCTTGACAATGAGTTTAAAACTGGTTTCCAAGTAGCAACTTATTATAAAGTCCTGAGAAACTTCGTCTTAAAAAAAAAAAAAATCCCTAGTGCCTGAAGATTCAACAGGCTGGGAGTCAAAACCAAACACATGAATCTCCCTTCCAAGATCCCCAGGCAGCTCTGACCTAGAATGCCCTCCTCTTCAGAACGTCACCCTTCACAGCTGCCTCAGTCCCTTCCCTCTTTACCAGCCTCTCTTGACCTTCCCCTAGATGGAGCACAAGAGACGTCTCTACCCCACCTCACACCACCAACATGTGAGTCCCCAGTACCCACATGTGTGAAGCCTCCATCACCCAACTCATCACAAGGTACTGCAGGTATTCATTGCCCTCATTCCTTTCTCTACTGTTTCTATGACACCAGAGCCATCCTTTCACTCATCTCTAAATTCCTAGAGCCGAGCCCATGCACAAGGGAGAGGTGGGAAGAGCACTGAGTATAGAGCACGCAGCACAGTTTGCACTAGACAGGTAAACAGGTCTTTCTGCTTACAACAGGTCAACTCTCTTAAAAATCCCTTACAGCCATCAGAAAGACCTGGTTTCTAATTGTTTATCTTTGCAGCACAACAGTTGGGAAGCCTTGGGCAAGGACCCCTCTCTGGTCCCCCCATCTAATGATGCTAAGGAATGCACCTTATAATTGCTAAGAGAACTGTGGTTTAAAACATGCTTATGGATCTCCCAAAATCCACCTCCAGTAATTAAACCTTATTGAGACTTAAACTGGAATTGTACTACCTCAGAATATGACAAGGTGACCCAGACACATCTAAGAAAAGACAAGGAACAGTCAAAATAATTTGGAAAAGGGGCGCTTTAGGGCCTTATGTCAGACAGAGAAAAGCAAATACCTTATGGTCTCACTTACATCTGGAACCTAACAACAACAAAATGCAAAACCCTAAGCATAAGATACAGAAAACAGAAATTGGTGGCTGTCAGAAGCAGAAGGGGGAGTGGTCAAAATGAATGAAGGTGGTTAAAAGGTACAAACTTCCAGTTACAAAAGAACTAAGCCTTGGGAGTGTAAAGCACTGCGTGGTAACTGCAATAACCATTCTGTTGGCTGTTTAGTCACAAAGCCGGTGCGCCTCTGCAACCCCATGGTCTGTAGCCGCCAGGCTCCTATTCCATGGAATGTCTCAAACAGGAACACTGGAGTAGATTGCCATTTCCTTCTTCAAGTGATCTTCCGGACCCAGGGATCAAGCCCAGGTCTTCTGCATTAGTAGGAGATTCTTTACCACTGAGCCACCTGGGAAGCCCACAATTAATTATACTGAACTACTTATCTGAATATTGCTTAGAGGACAGATCTTAAAAGTTCTCATCACTCACACACACACACACACACACACTATAAAAATATTTGGCGATAGATGTCAACTAGACTTATTATGATGATCATTTATCAATATATACAAATCATCATGTCTTACATTTGAAACTAACATAACTCGGGTGGCTTTTTTTTTGGTTGTTTTTTGTTTGTTTTGTCTTTGGCCTCGTGGCATGCAGGATCTTAGTTCCTGGCCAGGGATCAAACCCTCACCTGCTGCACTAGAAACACAGAGTCTTAACCACTGGACTCCCAGGGAAATCCCTGAAACTAACATTAATGTTAAATGTCAATTACACCTCAAATAAAAAGCAAATCACACTTAAAGTTCAAAAAAATAGCCTTTTAAAAACATGCAGAAAAAGAATGATAAGAAGGGAGTCTTATCCAACCAGATATAAATACTTAAAATAATAATTTAAGTGTCAACACTTAAGGCATAATAATAATTTAAAACACAGTATAAGAGCAGGAAAAAAGAAACAATGGAACAGAGAGAATTCCCAGAAACTCATGAGATGCAACAAATTAGTGAAGACTAAACTTTACAATACAAGGCACTAGAACGTTGGCTATTTATAAGCAAAAACATAAGATTAGCTCTCCACCCGTTTATATACACAGTAATAAGTTCTAGGTGAAAAGTGAAAAGCAAAACTTTAAAAAAACTTAACAAGACACAGGAAAACACCAGGGTAGGGCAGGACTTTTTAAAGAATAAATAAAAGACAGTTTTTAAAATTAATCAATTATATTAAAATAATTCCTAAACATTAACCATAAGTAAAAGACGATTAGGAGATAATAACTGCACTGCACGTAATTAACAAAGGATTAATCATAAAAACCCCACAAAAGAAAGGACAACATGCAGCATGACTGGCAGCTCGTCCTCTTCAGTCCCAGAGCTCAGGCACTGTCATCGGCGGTTCCTGTTACATGCGGCCAAATCCAATCCCAGTGGATAGGCAACTCAGCAGAAAAATGGCCAATGGACAGACAACTCACAGAGTAGAAGGAAAACTGCTTGATAAACAAGGGGACGAACTCAATCTCACTGGGTACCTCAGAAATGCATGCTGAAACAATGAGCTGTCTGTCTCTGAATGCTGGACAGAAGTCTAGTACAAAAACAAGAGCCTGGAGAGCTCGGGGTACTGCAGACAGTTATAAACTGCTGATGATCTAAGATGGGCCACTCACTTGAAATTCACAGTTCTCTAGAGTAAGTTCATGGGCCTGAACAGCAAGGTGTGCACCAGTCCACTTCTGGGCACTTATTCCTGGAGAACCTCTCCCCTACACTCAGACAAGCCTACAGGACTACTAACAACAAGGACATTCCCACCAACGGGGAATACGTGCAGTACCACCCTAGAATGGTTTGTAAGAGCTATGTTTACCAAGGAGATAAACTCTGAAAGTTATTCTGAAGGAGCAAATGATGAGACATATACAATGTATCATTTATGTAAAAACATTTTTAACTCAATATACTATATTATTTACCTTTGTAGGCAAAGTGTACAAACACAAAAAGGAAACAGCTTTAAAACCTTGGTTATCTTTGTGGATGAAGAAGCAGGGGCTGAAGAATGGTATCTGAAGGAAACCCAAAGGGGCCTGAATCGTATCTGTGATTTTTTTTTTTTAAAGACTGTAAGTAAAATGGCTATTAACATGTTACCCAAGGAGGTAGGTACAGGGGTGTGATTTATATTGTTCTATGTGCTTTCCCACTTATTTAAAACATGTCCTTTTTTTAAATGAGTGGGCATTCAATCCTGATAGTAATGATGACCAGATACCTTGAACAACTCTTTTGCTA